CCAGCTCATCGGCACCAGCTGTACGAAATCTTACAGCGGCTACTTACGTGTATGGGCGACTTGCACCGCTACCGTGAACTGCACTCGGCGGTGCCTGACCGACACCATCGGGTCTTCTTCCACTTTACACGCGCCGTGCTCTTCTACCACCAGGCGCACGTCCTCCTTCCCGACCATGGCAATCCATCGAATCAGCTAGCGGTCGTTGCCACCACAGTGGGCGATTCGTTTGGTGCGGTGTATCAGTACTACCGGGCGCTGTGCGTCCGTGTGCCCTTTGATAACGCGCGCCATAACCTGCAGCGCATGCTGGAAAAAGCTCTCCATGCATGGTCGTCGAGTGCGCGGCGTGACGATGTGCTCGTAGCATGGCGTCAGGCTGCTCTGGAAGATTGTCCTGCGCGCCGAGTGCCCGTGCCGTCGATCAGCGCTCGGTGGGACTCGGCGCAGGACTACTTTGACTCCTTGGTGGCCTTCCACAGTCTGTGCTTTCTGCGCGCCGACTTTGACACGGCCTGCGTCCTCCATGATGCGATTCTACGTCACATGCTCATGACAGTCGATATGCATGAGCTGCGTGCCGTCGACTATCTGCGCATTCTCGTGACCGGCCTGTGTGCTTCGTGGACGACGCGACTGTGCCCGGCGCCGCTGCACGAACGTCTGCCTTTTTCGCTCGGCGCGCCCTACTCGGCGCACATGGATGCGGACGTCCTTGCCGAGCATGTGCGCGCGGCGTGGGGCACGCTGCTGGTGTGCCACGTCCTGGGTATTTTGACAGCGCTCCTGGCCGTCATCCGGCACGAGCTCATGAGTCTGCTGCGTGACAAGCGGCCTGATGGCGAGCCGGGGCTCATGGACATGGGCCGCATCCTGCGCCGCACGCTGCCGTCGGTGCGCATCGGCCTCAAGTGGGTCAGGGGCCATGTCGACTACATGGCCTCGTGCCGAGCGCAGGCAGCGCAGGCGGCCCAGGAGCTGCAGCAGGCCGTCGACCAGCAGAAAACGCCCTCGAGTCTTGCGACGGATGCCGTCGCGCGACTGGCGTGTGTGCAGCGCAGTGTAGAAGCGCGCATGTCCTCGTTTTGGAGTGCGCTCATCGACTTTGGCAACCTCCTGCAGGCGGCCTACCCACCCAGCGTGCTTCCTGTGGCGCCCGAGGCATCCATCTTTATCGAGGAGGACGTCGACCTGCAGTTTCTCGGTCCGATTCGCCGCGTCATGCACCCGACGGAGGCGTCGCCGTATGCGCTGCCTGACTTGGCGCCGTTGGCGAGTGCGCACGCCGACTATGCGCGTGTTCTGGACGTCGAACGAGACATTCAGAGCATGGCCACCTCGGAAGCGTGCGGCCTCGTGTACGACGAGGCACGGGCGATGTTCGTGTCGCGTGCCGCGCCTGTCGAGGCGGATGATCCGATTGAGCTCGCGATGCGGGCGATGGACGTGCACATGGATCACGCCTGGTCGCAAAGCAAGCCGGCGCAGGATGCGCCCGCGTGGCCCTCGTCTACGTGGACGGATCCGTGGACGACATCGAGCTCGATTTGGACGACGTGGCCAAGCTAAGGCGCTGCAGGACGGTCAAGCGAGCACGCAGCGCACTCATATCGGAGGGGCGCACATCGACGACGTGCTCGTCCTCTTTCTCGAGTACTTGCCGTGCCCAGTCGATGCGCGCAGGCACGGCTCCGCTCCGGATCAAGTCGAGGAGGATCCGCGGCACCGAGTCGCCAAAAAGGCGCGACAGCGATGCGAGCGGCACGCACGCGTAGGCCTGGACATGGCACTCCAAGAGGCGCGTCAAGAGGGTATGCAGCAGCGCATCTGCGCGATGCACGCCGATGGCTGGATCACAGCGCCACACCGACGCATGTGCGTCGCGCACCAGAGCGATGCACGACGGCCAGTCGGACACGAGGTACGTGCTGAGCACGTCGCGAGGCGCGCGAGCCACGTCGGTGTACTGCCGAAACGATGCATCCTGCAGCACTTGTACGGCGCGCGCGCGCTGCACGGCTGGCGGATGCACGCATAGCGCCCATAGCACGGCGTACCATGCACCCTGGGCAGGGCCGATGAGGTCGGCGTACGCGTCGCTGTGCGCCGACAGGAGGGGCTCCGGCAGTGCGTCGCGGCACAGCGTCCACTGTGCGACAAGGCGCCACGCAGCGAGGCGCGCAGCCATGTCCTCATAGGATGCGTCGGGAAGGCCTGCCACGTCCCGCACCAGCTGCCACCCTTCCGTCGTGCGGCTCCGCTCGAGCGCGCGCAGGATGGTGTGCGCCTGTTCGTAGCACAGCAAGACCCGCTCAGCGTCGCCCATGTCGTGCGCTGTCTGCAGTAGGCCGACGTACGAGGCCAACGCATGCTCGTTGGTGATGCCATACTCGCGTGCGCTCTCGTAGTGCTCGAGCGCCGCACGAAACGCGCCGCGTCGGCGGAAGTGCGCGCCCAGCAGGTAGTGGATGCGGCGCGCACGCTCCGGCGTATGCTGGGACGCGGCCAACTCCGCCAAGAGCCGCTCTTGCTCTTCGCGGACGTGGGCGGCCGTCGTAGCCAGCCACGCGTCCCACGCCGCCTCGGTCGGCATACCTGCCTCACATCGGACCGAGCGCAGCTTGTCCCCGTCCCACAGGTGCGCCTGCATGTACGCCGCCGCTTCGACGAGGGCCGCATCACGCTGCGCCGGCGCCACCGCTGCCACATGCAGCAGATAGCGGACGCGCGTCCACCCACCCAGCGTGGCCTCCCAACCCGACATGGTGGCGTAGTGGCGGTGGTCCCACCATCGGCCGAGGCGTACGGTGTGTGGAGCCGCGCACCAGCCGCGCCGCCACCGACGTGGGGGCCGTCATGTCGTTGGCGCCTCAGCTCGAAGCGGTGGCTCGCATCGCTAGCTCAGAGGAGCGCACCGCACAGTACACGCGTCTGCTCGAGCAGGCTCTGCACGACACGCCGAGTGCGTCGCTCCCATCCTTGGTCCGCACGTACGTCGACGGCGCCGTGCTGGACCCTGTGAATACGACCGGCGCGGGCTTACTCGTAGGCCGGCACATGCTGGCGCACCTCGCCACCCAGCTCGCTGCAGCGCACATACCCGCGAACATACTGTGCACCATCGTGAGCGATACCCTTGCCACGTGCGAAGCGTCGTCGATCATGTGGGATGACGAGCTCGGACCGTGGCGCGTGCTCCTCGCTGAGCAGTACGCGTCGCTCTCGCGATGGCGTGACGCCGCTCAAGCGCTGCAGTCCATCACGCCTCATGCTGCGCGGCGTATACCCCAGCTGTCGTTCGCCCAGCTGTGTGTGCGCGTCGTCGAGCTGTGGCTCCATGACCTGCCATCCCACGTCGCCGAAGCTGAGCAGGCGATCAAGCGCGCCAACTCCGCCATACTCGATGAACGCGACAACAAGGCTCTCGTGCACGAGCTATGGTATTATCAGGCCCGCGTCCTCGCGATACAACACAGATTCATCGAGGCGGCGGCGCGGTACATGGACTTGCCTCACGCCGACATGGACGCAGCCGTGTATGCCATCATCTCGCCGCCCAGTGCGCAGCGCACCTCTATGCTCACACGTCTCGCCCAGCAAGCCTCGGCCTGGCCGTTTGCACAGACGCTGCATCATGCCGCAGAGGGGCGGTTTTTGCGCCCAGGCGACTTGGATGCCCTCGCGCCGTTCCTCGGCGGTGTGCCCGTACAGCCCGATGTGTTTGTCGAGCACAATATATGCGTCGCACTCTCGTTCTTCTCCAGTGTACCTCTTCCTCAACTAACACGCCTCGTCGGCCTCGACGCGCATGAACACGGCGTACAGGCATGCGAGGCGGCCGTCGCACGCCTGCTCTCCCAAGGCATCCTGCCCACCGACACATGCTGGATCGATCAAGTCACACAGGCCGTGCACATCGGCACTCCCGATGCCGAGACCGACCGAGAAGCGCGCATATCGGCCTCCCTGCAGGCCCTCGATGCGGCGCACGCTCGTCTATCCGCCTAGCCGCCTTCATTCGTCCATATCGTCTACATACCCATCATGCGCCGCATCGTCCTCATGCTCTTCGCGCGCCTGCCTCTCCCGATCCTCGCGCGAGTACAGGCTGAAGTCGACCTCCTTGACAGACTCGTCCGTCTTTTCTTCCTCGACACGCGCGTCTGGCTTGGCAAAGATCTCCCGACCTGTCGGCTTGGCTTTCATGCGGCGATACTCCTCACGCTCCTTGGGCGTCAGCGATGCCACATAGGCCTCTTCCTTTTGGGCTCGAAGCATCTCCTGCTTTTGCATAAACTCAATGCGCCAGGCATTGAATCGCTCCACCGTCACGGCCGTGCCGCGGAACTTTTCTTCCTCCGCTCGAAGCTCCGCCTCGCGCTGTTCGCTCGCCGCCTTCTCAGCCTCCTGGGCCTGCCGCGTCATATAGTCGGTAAGTGACTCCCGCAAGTGCGATGCCAACGCAAACACCATCGGCATGCCGAGCGATTCCTTCGCCACTTGCTCAAGCTCCTTCGTTAAAAGCTGTACACCTTCGCGCGGGTCAACGTGCGGCGGCTCCTCGTCCTCTGGCGGCGGCATGCCCAACACCTGCCTGCCATCCTCCAGGACATGTATGCGTAGCTCTGGCACCTCATCGGGGTACTCCTGCGTATACTGCACATCTAAGAGCAGAACGGGGTCTATCCAGTCAGATCACACAAACCTACCCTGCTTGGCCTCGTCATAATCTTCTGGGACAACGCGGATCTGAAGATGCGTCGGTGAAAGCTCTGACTCGTAAGCATACCTCGACGTACTCTGCAGCTCCTCAATATAGATGCTTTCGAGCACCTCCAACTCCTCCGATAGCACCTGCTCATGCTCCTCCGCTGACACCATCTCGACAGACAGATCAATAGCGGAAGACAACAGGTCCCAAGGCGCCTCGCTCGCTAGTGGAGTTCGACAGCTCTCTCAAGTTATCTACCAACATCTTTTGCTCGCCGGGATGATTTGAAGGTCTACTGGCGCAATGGTAGCGTATCAGCCTTCTACCCTGCGGAGGCGAGCTGAGGGTTGCGGGTTCGAGCCCCGCGTGGACCTCTTTTTTGCTCTCTGTTCGTACAAACGCCACGGACGCATTTCTTGACCCCACATTATGCCGGCACGCTCTGCTCTATGATGCTGGCCTCAGAAGTATCTGTTCCTTCGGCTCTCATACAAAGATACATGCTTCTTGAGCACGAACTTCCGTAGAGACCACATGTGTATGCGTTGCATCCCTGGCCGTTGCTAAGCGTGCCGCTCGCATCATATCTATAGAAATGCCCTTAAGGAATCGGGGCCGGTGACCACTTCGATGCTAAACGCATTCCCTCTCCTCATGCAGCACCACTGCGGGGAGCTCTCCCTCAACCGCCTGAGCGGCGTGCCGCGCGCAAGCATCGGAGAAAGTATGACTTTCGCCACGTGTCATCCACGTGGAGTCAGAAGGCCGCCGAAGACGAAAGAAGGCCGAGTGCTCGGAAGGGGGCGTGCGCCCTGGTAGGTACAAGTGAAAAAGCAAGTCAATCTTCTTTTGCCACCGCGTTACCTTGTAAGGATCGCTACATACAGCATGATTGGCGCTCTTACTCGTGGACTTCGCATGGCGCCCTCTACGGGTCGCCTGCTTTCTCAGCCGCTTCGTGCTGCTCCTCTGGGCGGTGTGCGCTTCAACTCCGGCAAGGTCTCTGGACCTGTGATCGGTATTGATCTTGGTACGACCAACTCCTGTGTCTCGATCATGGAGGGCCAGCAGGCCCGCGTCATCGAGAACTCGGAAGGTGGCCGTACTACTCCCTCGGTCGTTGCTTTCACGAAGGACGGCGAACGTCTGGTGGGTGTGCCCGCCAAGCGTCAGGCTGTCGTGAACCCTGAGGCCACCCTCTTCGCCACCAAGCGTCTTATCGGTCGCAAGTTCACCGACCGTGAGGTTCAGAAGGACATTGACAATGTGCCATTCAAGATTGTTGCTCACTCGAACGGTGATGCTTGGCTTGAGGCGCGCGGACAGCGCTACTCGCCATCGCAGATTGGTGCCTTTGTGGTCGGCAAGCTCAAGGACACCGCGTCAGGCTACCTGGGCAAGCCCGTCAAGCACGCCGTGATCACGGTGCCTGCTTACTTCAATGACTCGCAGCGTCAGGCTACTAAGGACGCAGGCACCATTGCTGGCCTTGAAGTGCTGCGTGTTATCAACGAGCCCACTGCCGCTGCTCTGGCTTACGGTCTTGACCGCCAAGAAAATGCCACCATTGCCGTCTTCGATCTGGGTGGTGGTACCTTCGATGTGTCTATCCTTGAGATGTCGAAGGGCGTTTTCGAGGTCAAGTCGACGAACGGTGACACGCACCTTGGTGGTGAGGACTTTGACATTGTCATCGTTGAGCACCTTGTCAAGGAATTCCAGAAGGAGAACGGCATTGACCTGAGCAAGGACCGTATGGCTATTCAGCGTATTCGCGAGGCTGCTGAGAAAGCCAAGATTGAGCTTTCGAGCACCTCGTCGACGGACATCAGCCTCCCCTACATTACGGCCGACGCTTCAGGTCCCAAGCACATTAACTCGAAGATGACGCGTGCCCAGCTCGAGGGCATGATCAGCAAGCTGATCCAGCGCACGGTCGATCCATGCAACAAGGCAATGGCGGATGCCGGTGTCAAGCCCAGCGACGTGAACGATGTGATCATGGTCGGTGGTATGAGCCGTATGCCGAAGGTGCTCGACACTGTGAAGAGCATCTTCAAGCGTGAGCCCTCGAAGGGTGTGAACCCTGACGAGGCTGTGGCTATTGGTGCCTCGATCCAGGGTGGTGTGCTGTCGGGCCATGTGACCGACATTCTTCTGCTCGATGTGACGCCACTGTCGCTTGGTATCCAGACGCTGGGTGGTGTATTTACCCGCCTGATCAACCGTAACACTACGATCCCCACTAAGAAGAGCCAGGTGTTCTCGACCGCCGCTGATGGCCAGACTGCCGTGGACATTCAGGTCTACCAGGGTGAGCGTGAGCTCGTGAAGGACAACAAGCTTCTTGGCAACTTCCAGCTCACTGGTATTCCCCCCGCCCCTAAGGGTGTGCCTCAGATCGAGGTGACCTTTGACATTGACGCTGACGGTATCGTGAACGTTGGTGCTAAAGACAAGGCTACAAACAAGGACCAGAGCATGACGATCGCTGCTGGCTCTGGTCTCTCTGAACAGGAGATTGAGCGCATGGTGAACGACGCTGAGCAGCACGCTGAGGCTGACAAGGCTCGCCGTGTGGTTATTGAGGAGGCCAACCGCGCCCAGAGTGTGGCTGGAGAGACGAGCAAGGCTATGGCCGAGTTCAAGGACCAGCTAGACAAGGAGGAGGCCGAGAAGGTTCAGAAGCTGGTGGAGGAGCTCGAGGGTCTGGCCAGCCGCGGTGTTTCGGGTGACGGTGACCTCACTGCCGATGAGATCAAGGCCAAGATCGACGAGACGCAGCAGGCGTCGCTTGGTCTCTTCAAGAAGGTGTACGAAAGCCGCGCTCAGTCGGACAACCAGGGCGAGGGCGAGAAGAAGGAATAAGCTATCGACACGTGGTCCCGTATGTCGCTGATGCTCATTCGCCTATAAATCTACCGTGAATAGCAAAAGAATGCAATAATGATTGCCTCTACTTGGATGGAGACAAAATTAGCTGAACGAAGGTGGGGAGCATGGTCTTGATAGCATGGGTGGATGGTGCCACTAGTGTTGAACCAGCCGGTTCCTCAGCTTGCATCATGCGAGCTCGACGCAACGCAGTAGCATCAGCCTCTTCCGGTCCTGAATCGTCGTCGGATGAGGATAGGGATTCCGAATCGGATGTCTCGTCATCGGATCCGTCAAGCTCTTCAATTTCGTCTTGCAAACCGGAACCAAAGCCGAACTGCTCCGACATGGTATTGATGAAAGCTTCTTCCTCCTGTGGCACATCTGCAGCATGAGCGACTGCCTTATTCACCAACTTGCGCCGCCGTTTCAGTTCGCGTTGCAGCTTTAATTTATACACATGCTGGATAATCGCGTCGACTTCTTTCATGACACAAGCTCGATCCGCATGGCTAAGAGCTAGGCACTGCTCCAGATCGATCCATCCGAGGCCGCAAGCTTTCGCTTCGCGAGGATCGCGGACATAGTTGACAAAGAGCTCAATCCAAAGGATGAGGCGCTGGAACAAACCTGAGCCTTTGGTATGAACCTGATGTACAAAGTGATAAAATTTCTGTTGATGACGCTGCACCAAATTGACAAAGGCCGACACCACTGCGTCTGGATTGGAAGCATGAAGCGATGCATTCTCTTCAACCGTTTTGATCAGGTCGTTGACAAACACTTGCACATCACCTAATGTGTCACTCACATTCGCCACGCGATACACCTGAGCCAGGGGGGCGTAAAAAATCGTCACCATATCTTTCAACAACTCAGTTGTAGCATTGTCGTAGATCAAACTGATGATCTGTTCTTTGGTATGAATGGCCGAGCACAAGCTCAAGTAGACACGCAAATCCTCGAGCAGCCAGGCATCGTCCGACTCTGGCTCGGTGTCAGGGAGTCCGAGGGATCTGGCATGTGCCCTCTGTTTCTGAAATTTCTGGTACGCAATGCACGCCCGATTTACTCGGGATAATTGCCGTGGCTGGAGTTCAGCGGCTAGGGGGGAGCGCAGAATAACCACTAGAACGTCTACGCCCTCAGCTTCAGCTTGTTCATAGAACAGGCATTGCATATCGTGAGACAATGCAATAAAAGCATGTACCTTGTCGGCATACACAGCATCGGGTATCTTTGCACGCACGTTGAGTGTGAGCTCTTTGATTTCATTGAGTTCCTCATGTAGTTTTCCTGTGTACATGCGCTGCAACAAACTCTTTTGGCCAAAGGGTTGCGCAAGAAACAAATCAAGGAAAGAACGCATCATGGCCACAGGGTTGGATATACGCAGAATGCCCCGCACGACGAAGTACGGCATCATGGAGTGCATGTACTTGAGATGTGCGAAAGCTCGCGATGACGAATCGCGGGCGACAAACATAGTGAAAAGACCTGACGCCATCGAAACCGTCGCCCAGTCGACAATCACCTTGTACTCGGGTGGGAGATCTTGGACATGGGGGCAGGAGCGAATCGTAGCAAATACCTGACTCAGACCATCGGGTTTCAGCAGCATGGACTTGAACGTATCAAGGTGTGATTGAAGAATACGAGCTCGCTCTGCCATCTGATCCGCAAATTCTTTGAGTTCCGTTTCGCGGACGGCGTCTGCTTGACGTCGTGCATGAGCATCAGCCTTGTCTTCACTTGTGAGAATCGTGGGGTCATGGACGAGGAAGTCCTGGAACGCTTCACTATCTGCCAGCATAGGAATACCGAGAATATTGCGCAAAAATGCTCGGAGCGTCAAGCGATTGCGTTCACGAAGTAGTGCGTTGGGTGTGACGGCCGTCATGTCGACCCATTCGCCGTCCCTATCTTCCTGTTGCAGCGCACCATTGACTTCGACGGCGGTCATGTCTTTGGGTGGTAGTTCCGGGACGTCCTGCGTCGGAAACTGCGCGCGCAACACTTTGTAGAGGCGGTAAAAGTCGCTGTACCGCCGGGCGACATGGATTTCTTCTTGGTGGGTCCGTGTGCTGACGATAAACTCATCCAAGGTCTTGTTCCGAATGTGGCCGCGTCTGATGGTCCGGCGCACAGAGACAATGTCGATTTTTGTGCCTTTGTCACTCGACGATTTTCTAGTGGCCGTTCGATGCGCATCCATAGTGAAGAGACGTTCGCGATCAACGCCGCTGACCCGCACAATCTCCTCCTCAACGCCCTTGACACGCAGACCTCCGCTGACGAGCATGGTCAGGTACGCCGTCGTTTTATCGACCATGGACGCAGATTTGGGTCCATTCACAGGATCGATCATAATGAGGTTACGTTCCAGCATGCGCTCGACAAAGGCCTGTACCTTGTTAGGGAAAAAATCGGGTGGTGCGCTTTCGAAGAAGGGAAAAGTGAGCACAAATTGATGGAGCAAGTGTCGGATCAGTGGCAGCTT